TGTGAAGACGGGCACGTTCCGACCTATTTCTCCGACATTGGAAAGGATCCCTCAACGAATGTTCACCGTTTTAGGCGTTAGCTTATTGCAGCAGTTCGCAAACGTTTGGCTTTAGGATCCCTTTACAATATTCCTACAAACTTTTGAGGGCCCCACAGATCTACCGTATTAGAAATTGGAACTGAAACTTTAAAAAATGTTTAAAAATAAAAATCATTAAATATTTTTATAAAAATTAACATTTTCCAAATCTATTTATTGTTCCCCAGGATAATAAATGGATGGAGTCCCAATTCTACCTCTGCTTTCAATCTATTTGGTATATGTGTGTGAGTTCTGTTTGTTTTTGTTTTTAATTATACTTTGCCATGTTTGCATTGGACAAATCTTTTTTTAAAATATATTTTATTGATTTTTTACAGAGAGGAAGAGAGACGGATAGACAGAAACATCGACCAGCTGCCTCCTGCACACCACCTACTGGAGATGTGCCCGCAACCAATGTACATGCCCTTGACCAGAATCGAACCTGGAACCTTTCAGTCTGCAGACCCAGACCGACGCTCTATCCATTGAGCCAAACCAGTTTTGGCTGTGTGTGTGTGTGTGTGTGTGTGTGTGTGTGTGTGTGTATGTGTGTGTGTGTGTGTGTGTGTGTGTGTGTGTGTGTGTGTGTGTGTTTTAAGTATATGAAGAAAATTTGATCCAAACTCAACAAGTGGTATAATAGTTTTTGAAAAGTTGGTTGCAATGTGGAATGTGGCTTCATCATATAACATTCAAAAGTTCTATTTACTAATATCACCACGGATTTCATCAGAAAATATTTTAAGTATTGGAAAGCTGTCAACCTCAGATGGTGAATACAAATTTTGCAAAACTCTAACTTGTGAATAAAAGCTCAAATTTTAAACATTGGTAACATACACATTGTTTCCCTTGAAATGATAGGTTTACTTCTTCAATTCACAACAAAGTGAATTGAAAGCCAAATATCCAAATCCAAATAATCATAATTTGTTAATTGTGCTTTCAAAAAAATGTTTCATGAAAAAAAATAACGAGTTCAGGTAGCAACACAAATATAATCACACCAGTGCGATTAGAACTTGAGAGAACTCATGTACTTTGGTATTCAATAGAAATGATGCATGCATATTGACCATATCATCACATAGAATAAAGACACTCAAGAATGAAGACTTGCCAAAACCGGATTGGCTCAGTGGAAAGAGCATTGGTCTGCGGACTGAAAGGTCCCAGGTTCAATTCTGGTCAGGGGCATGTATCTTGGTTGCTCTTGGTTGCGGGCACATCCCCAGTAAGGGGTGTGCAAGAGGCAGATGATCGATGTTTCTCTCACATCGATGTTTCTAGCTCTCTATCCCTCTCCCTTCCTCTCTGTAAAAAAAAATTAATAAAATATATTTTTTTAAAAAGAGTGAAGACTTAAAGTGAACAATTTTTACTGTTTCATAATGCACATTTTTATATGAAAATTATTTATCATGCCCACATTTTGTTTCCTGACAATGTGGGCACGATGAATAAGAGACTACTGCTACAGTTTGAAGCCACTGCTTTGACTCATGCTTAAGAAACAGCAGTATTAACCTCCCAAGGCTTTTGTATCATCAGTGCAAATGTCAACACAGTGAAAAAGGCAAATAACATTTTAGTGTTATGAAAATACAGTTTCAAAATCAGAGACCTTCTGAAAAGGCCATAGGAATCCTCAAACTACTGCTGACCTATGGGACCCAGGATCTGACCAGAGCTGACAGTCCTTGACTCCTGTCCATCAGTCCTTTCTTATGCACACAGTGTGCTCCACCTCCAGAAAGAGTGTAGGTGAATAAGATACTGTACCTTCCCTAGTTTCTGTAAACTGCTAGGGAAGAGTTCACAAATGATTGTGAATCAAGAATTAGCCCTAGTTGGTTTGGCTTAGTGGATAGAGCATCAGCCTGCCACTGGAGGATCCTGGGTTTGATTCTGGTCAAGGGCACATGCCCAGGTTCGGGATCATCCCCAGTAGGGGTCGTGCAGGTGGAAGCTAATCAATGATTTCCTCTCATCATTGATGTTTCTAGCTCTTTCTACTCCCCCTTCCTCTTTGAAATCAATAAAAAATATACTTTAAAAAATGATAAAAACATATTGATTTAAAAAAATTAAACCCCTGAGCCTGATCGGCGTGGCTGACCTTTGACCTATGAATTTGGAGATCACGGTTCAATTTCCTGTCAAGGCATATGCCCAGGTTGTGGGCTTGATCCCCAGTGTGGGGTATGTAGGAGGCAGCTTATCAGTGATTATCTCTCATTATTGATGCTTCCATCTCTCCTTCTCCCTCTCTGAAATAAATAAAATTTGACTGGAATTGAACCCAGGACCTTTCAGTCCGCAGGCCGGTGCTCTATCCACTGAGGCAAATCAGCTAGGGCAATATAAATATATATATATAATTTTTTTTTTTAGAGAAACCCCTGAGAGTTGCTTTTTAGGAAGATAAATCATTTCCAAAAGAAGAATCTGAGGTTTTGCCCAGGTTACAAGCTGTCCCAGGTCATTCTTTTTCTGAGACTAATATAACCACATTAAAATAAATAGTAATACCTTGAGATAGGTTAGCTCTGTAACAATTTGGGAGAATATATATTAATTTAGACTCAACAAAAATGCAGATAAATTTTAGAAGTAAATTGAAAAGTAGACATAGAGGAGATAGGATAAAGCAGAATTGTCAGAATTGTATGGAATTTAGGGGATTGGAAGGTGTATTAGAAAGATAGGGACACCATAACAAAGGACCACCAGGTGAATGGCTTCAACAACAGAAATTCATTTTTTTACAGGATCTCACTGGCCAGGAGTACAAGATCAAGGTGTCGGGAGGGAACCGAACCAATCTCCTGAGGTCTCTATCCTTGGTCTCTATCCTCTATCCTCTATCCATCTTCAAACTGTGACCTCACCTGTCTTCTTTCTTTGTCTGGGTCCTAATATCTTCTCCTAATAAGGGCACCTGTCCTATCAGAGTAAGCCATAATCCAGTGACTTCATTTTAATGTAATTATCTCTTAAAGCCCTATCTCCAAATTCAGTTGCATTCTGAGGTCCTGGGGTTAGGAGTTCAGCAAGTGAATCTGGGGTGGGGGGAGGGCACATACAATTCAGCCCATAATAAAAAGGAAGGTATCTAATCTGTGTGGAGAGTTCTACAGTTGTGGGAGGCAGGACTTAAACAATGCTGTTAGCTATATCTTTATTCAAGACTCTGAGAACCCTACGCCAAATGTCTCCAGCTGAATCTGACACATTTCCCCAACCCCCAAATGGGAATATTACTAAATATTCCATTTAAGACGTTCACACCTACAGTCCTAGATAAGTTTGTAAAATTGAGAGTATTGTTGTAATATAGTAGAGAAACATATAACAATGAAAAAATTCAATATTTTATTCAGTTCTGAGGCATAACATTAAATACAGAAAGTCTGAAAAACATTTAAGACAAAGAACTATTAGAATAGCATAAAAGTTAGTGAAATAGTCTACAATGGTAGCAAAAATGTATAAAGTTCTCTTCTTAATTTGTTTAAGTCCCAAGAAGTAGAAATTAAATCGTCTTTAAAGAGTTTTATGTGGTTCTACTAAATGCTCGTTTTGTCTTCATGTCTAGAAAGCCTTGCTGTGTGAGAGCAATGAACTTAAAGTATCATCTTTTAAACCATGTCTAGGGCCTATAAAACTACCTTTGAGTGTGGTCACAATTCGTATTCCTCTCAGTCTTAATGCAAACAGATGGAACAGGAGGTTAAGCATAACTCTATAAGCCACTGAAGCCTAACTGCAGTATGTATTTGAGTGTTTCATGGTCTGTGAAGAGATGAGGGAACGTACTGGCCTGCTAAAGCCCTGAGGCAGTATAGATATTACCAGCATTCAGCTCAGTTACACACTAAGCTGAGAAGATACATCACAACCTGTTTTGTGTAAAAAATATAAGCTCAACGTTTTGATCAGATAAAGGATGCCAACCACTGTGAGCAATGGCAAGGAGAGGCCTCCATCCACCCGCTGATGCTTGGACAAACCGCTCCAGGTCCACAGCCACTGCTCTGCCCTATTTCTTCCCAGAAGCATGCCCTCCAAACGCAGAGGCAGAAATCAGGAGGTTATAACAAAATAACAAGCTTACACAGCCCCCTTAAAACAATTCCCTGTCCTGTGACTAAATTCACATGAAAAACAACAAATGAAAATCTAAGACAGAAAACAGTCTATCCTTTGGAAAAATCTTTAATAAGTTACTTTGAGCAATTCTATGAAACTTCAACATGATGATAGTTTCTATTAATCCATTTCATGGTTAAATTCTTCCCCAGGCTCAAAGGTTCTAGGATTATTGGTGATGCCAAAAATTCTAAGAAAATCTGATCAAGTCATAGCTGCTTATCAGTTGTTTTCAGTTTCTATTTAAAAAAAAATAAAAAATAAAAAAACCGCTTCAGCACTTGGACAAGAGAAGGTGTGCTATAGTTTTGACCTTTTATTTGTATTTGTACTTTGTTGGCAGTTCAGTGCAGGTGGTTTCAACACTTACTTCGCGCTCCTTTGTACCAGGCACTGTACTAGATGCTGAGACACAAAGATGAGTAAGACATAGTCCCTGTCCCCAAGGAGCTTACTCACAGTCTCTGGGAGGCCCACAGATAGTGCAAAGATATAGTAGAGTTCATTCTAAAATGGACAAAAATGGCAGACATCGGGCTTTCCCATACAATATCGTGCCATTGTTTGTAACAGACAAGGCCAATGAAGACCATGTACATGTGATAAAACAGTAAAATCATGAAGACCTAACTTTCAAAAGGTTCACATGATAAAGGTAGGTAACACTAAACATGTACACCATGGTTTTTCAAGTACTTCATACTTAGAAATATTATTGCCCACATTTGCACTATAGTCCAAGCCACAGTCCAGGCTCAACGTCACTCACACCTCGGTGAGCTGGGGCTCAGCTTCTCGCTGAGCTTGTGAATTAGCATGGCCAGCTCCTCCGTCGCCTGGCTCTTGTCCTCCAACAGTTCATAACGAAGGCTGGAGATATCTTGCTTGATTTCTTTTAGTTCGCCTGAAGTATTGGTATGAAAGAAACACATAATTGGTCATTTTCTCTTTGGATTTAGAAGAGGACAAAGAGTGAAATTCCTATGATATAAATACATTTCCCCCTAACGTCACCAAAATAGATTTTCCCCTTTAAAACATGTCTGTCTTTAAAAATATGGTGACCTTTGTAAAAAGCTATAAAAGTAGTCCAGCTGTTTTTAAATAGGAAAGCGGGTATCGTCCTGTAGCTCAGCAAATGTTAAATTCGGGGTGGCTTCCCTCTCCTCTGATCTAGGGCAGGGCCTCCTTCCCATCTATAGGAAGGCTCTTGGGTTCCCTCAGCCATGCAGGTCGGCACTTACAGAGATAGGGAAGGGAATCCCAGCAAAACAAAATGCTACTAACAATGAATCAATTTATTTAACAGGCAAAGCCATGGAAGAAGTAAATGTAGGTCCAGGTTGAAGCAAGGGAAAGAAAGGAAAAAGAAGGAGTGTAAGTGTTTATTAGGGAAGGCCATGGCAATGAACGTGGTGTCAAGGAACAAACAGATCAGTCTGTGGTGCACAGAGGAAGGACATGTAAGGAAGTGAGGAGCAACGGTGAATTAATGTTCGGCCAGGGCAACACTGGCTGTGTGGGTATCATGGGTGTCTCTACAGCAGATTTTTGGCAATTAAAACACAACAGTTCCCAGAACTCAGCTTGGCAGTATTTGGAGCATTTGTCGATTGCAAAGAAAAACTGGATTCTCTTGCAAATAATTGCAATGGAAATAAGCCCTTAATCTTGAAAATGGAACCATGAAGCAGCAATTTATTTCAAATCATTTCAGCAATCCAAGAAATGATTCTTCAAATTATTGGCATTTTAACAGCTTTTTAAAATATATATATATTTTATTGATTTTTACAGAGAGGAAGGGAGAGGGAGAGAGAGTTAGAAACATTGATAAGAGAGAAACATAGATCAGCTGCCTCCTGCCCACCCCCTACTGGGGATGTGCCTGCAACCAACATGCCCTTGACCAGGATTGAACCTGGGACCTTTCAGTCCGCAGGTCGGCACTCTATCCACTGAGCCAAACTGGTTTCAGCACTTTAACAGCTTTTTAATGAGAATCACATGTAAAGCCTACCTTTCACGATCTTTCCCGGTATCTTTATGATGTTTTTAAAGTACCATTTCCACGTTCTTTATTTATAAAAAGGTCAGAATCTTTTCTTTTTCTTTTTTTTTTTTTAGGAATTCCAACTCCAGAACCCTAGTGAACCCACAATACCCTCCCTACAGTATCCTTCTCCCTCTTTCTGAGTTACGGGGTACTGCACAGTCAGTGTATTCAGTCTGCCAACTAGGGGAAACAAATTACCCAACCTCTTTTGACTTTAGTTTCCTCGTTTATAACAGGAGTTGGTTCCGCTATGTGATACACTTTCTTAGTTAGACCCTGGTTCACAGCGCCAATTCTCCTTCACCCACGTGCAGGCTGTGGGAGACAGCTCCTTATTTCTGATGCTGCCTCAGCCACCCCGTTCCCAGCACCGAGCTTTGTTTTGCTTTCAGGGAGTGACAGAACTGATCAGACTTCCCAATCCAGCCCTGCCTCCGCCACACTCTCTAGGCCCCGGTGACTGGATTTTTGCTGGCTATCGTTCACATCTCTACAGATGTCTTTTCTACAACATGCCACAGGATCAACTCAGATGTGCAAGGGTCCTTTCCTTAATCAAATACTGGTTTCAAAGCTCAGCAACAGTTTTGTTGAGTTTAATTTTTTTTTTCTTTTTTCTTAACAGTGCCAATAGGTCTATTTGCATCTGACTGGTGTTGCAAACTATAGATTTGAATTTATTGTTCCAGGTTGATTTCTTTTCAACTCCGGACATTGGCCTACACCCCAGCCTTTGATGAAAACATTTCTAGTTCACAAGGGATGCCCTGCCTAGGATTTACCTGGAAAAGTAGGCACCTTGAAGTAAGGAGCCAAGGAGAAACGCGGAAAGCAAGAGAAAAACAGATGGGAAAAATGGGCTAGAGGTTTCTTTTTGGATAACAAAATAAAGATCTGTCTGAAGAAGTGTGGGTTCTGTCCCTGCAACCACTATTTCACTTGCATCCCTGGGGAATGTTAACACTGGCGTGAACTCCCTGAAACTCCCATCTTACGTTAATAGGAAATTGAAAGGAGGACGGCAGACTTCACATTCTAAGAATCAGGGCATTTGGAGTAGAGATAAATTGTCGCTGACTGACATTTTAAAAACTGGTTCTTTAAAAAGACAGCATTTTAGAAATGTAAGGTAAGATTCTCCTGTCAATCTTGGAAGGACCCAACCTGCTCCCTGAGACTGGATTTTTAAAGGATCCTTCACTGTGCTGTTTCCCAAGTTGTCAAAGGAAGTTTCTCGGTTCGGGGATGCTTACCTTCATTCACTTCATCATTCTCTTTGTCTACTTGTGCTTTCAAAACATACCGCTTTATGAGCCTTTTCATTATCTGCTGTTGGGAAAGAAGAAATGATTCTGTCACCCAGGGCACCCTGCTCTCCAAGGAGCTTTACATTCCTGCAAAGCAAGCAGCCCAGTGGGGAGGCGTTTTATGTAACTATTTGCAGAAGAACCCAGGTTTCAGACTGTAACCCTTTCCCACCTTTTACTGAGACTGACTGCACACGCCATCCCACCCCCAGGGACAGAAGAAGCTTTGCACAAGGTTCAGATGGAAGAGTTCAGTTCATGGTTTCTCTTTCCAACACAATTTAAGATGTGTTGACAATACATTGTCATCTGTAGACACTACCTTGTTTCTCATTGCTGTGGTTCCTGTTTTTAAACAAAACCAAATCTATGCTCAATAGGGAAAACTTAGAAAATACAGAGAACAACAAAGAAATACACAAATTCATCAACTATCCCACCATCCGAAGAGAATCTCTGTTGGCATTTTGGCGTATGTCCTTCCAATACCTTTTCTTTAGTGTTGTACATATACTAATCACTATAGAGATTGTGTTTTATGTTTTTCAAATACTACATATTCTGTTATATTGTATGCTTGCCTCTCCTAGCAATATATAGTGTAAATATACTCAATCTAAATATAGCTCTTACAGGATAATTGTTTTCCTATATGGAAAAAAATCACACTGGAGCCCTACTTCCTATCATACACACAAAAAATTAATTCCACATGCATCTTAAATGTGAATTCCACATGCATTTCAAATTCCTCAAAAGACAGTAAGGAGAATCTGTTTGTAAATTCAGTATAGAGCTGTGAGTTTTTCAATAAGATAAAAATTCTAATTACAATAGAAAGGATTGATAAATTCAACTTCATTACAATGAAAACTTCTGTTAATAAAGATACCATGAAAAAGTAGAAAGTCAAGCCACGAACTGGGAGAAAATATAGGCAACACTTGTGACTGGTAATGAATTTGGATCCAAAATATATAAAGAACTTTAATCCAATATGAAAAACTCAACCCAACAGAAAAAATGGCAAAAGAGACATGTGCAGAAAAGGAACCGCGAATGGTCATGAAGCACATAAAACAATCCTCAGCTATTTTCTTGGGAAAAAGCAAATTACAATGAAAAGGAGATAGAATTTCACATCTAAAAAGGGAAAAATAAACACATCTTATAATGGCAACTGTTGGGAAGGATAAGTATCAATGGGATTTTATAATTCAGAGCTTTTATACTTTTTAAAAAATTTTATACTTTTTCAACCTTTTCCATCTCATGACGCACATAAAATAATAACCAAAATTACTAAAATAGTTATGATTTTGACTCATTCACACTGGAGCCATACTTCAGACCACACACACAAAAATTAATTCCACATGCATCTTAAATGTGAATTCCACATGCATTTTAAATTCTTCAAAAGACAATATAGGAGAATCTGTTTATAAATGCAGTGTAAGTTTTTCAGTGAGATAAAAACTTTTTATTTTATTGTTTTGCTATCATTGTGTTGGCTATTATCATTTTTTAATTTGACAATATGAGGGGAAGGACACCAGTGCCCTGACTAAGTAGTCAGGTAGTCCATGTTTTACTGAGTCTTGCGGCACACGGGTTGAAAATCGCTGTTTTAGAGGCATGCATATAAATAGACCATTTTGACAAACACTTTGGCATTTTCTTTTGGAGTTGAACTTTTGCATGCATAACCTTTCACTCAGAAAGTCTGTCTACACCTTGGTCTAGTATGTAGAGAAGCTTCATACATATATGTGGACCAAGAGGCATAAACAACGTTTATTGCAATCTTGTCCAAAATAGCAAAATAAAACAAAAAGCTGAAGACAATCTAAACAAGTATCAACAGGAGACCAGACAAATCACACAGTAAGTTACACAATATAATGTCATTGTGGTCACTAATAAAATTGATGAGCCACAGTCACACACAACGATAAAGATGAATCTTAGAAACATAAATGTTGAATGGAAAATTCAAACTGAATTCACGAAGTATGAAATAATTCCATAAAGCTCAATAAGAAGCCTACCTAAAGCATTTTGGGGATTATTGTATGTGCAATAAGCCTATATTTGAAAAGAAAACCAGAGTGAGAAACCCCAACTTCAGGCTAGAAGTTCCTGGCGGCAAGGGGTGGGCCAGGGACCAGATCATGTTGTCAGGTAGGAGGTGGCTTCATAAGTGTGCGGGTAGTAATACCTCATAACTTATTATATGACACACATTCTTCTGCACATATCAAATGTCACAAAAGATAATGAAGAGAAAAACTGCCTGAACTAAAGTGCAGGTACAGTGGGCCTCCCTTTATCTGTAGGGGATTGCTTCTAAGGCCTAGCACTAGATATTCGAAACCACTAAACTGAATATACACTGTTTTTTCCTTCACATAAAAACCTATAATAAAGTTTAATTGATAAATTAGGCAATTTCACTGAGAGAAGACTCATTCTTACCATTGACCTTAGCAACCTCAGCATATGACATTTTTTTCTTTACTTATTAAGTGGAGAACTTCCATATTTTCCCTTACCAGCTTCTCTCTGTCATAACCAATTGCTAGCATCACTACTATTGCACTTTGGGGCCGTTATAAAACCAAGGGTGACTTGAACACAGGCACTGTGACACTTCCACAATCCATCTGATGACTGTGGATTAGTCAATCCACTAAATGACTTATGGGTGAGAGGTCTGTCCTGGACAAAGGAGTGAGTGATGTCCTGGGTGGGACAGAGCAAAATGGCAAGAGAGTTCATCATGTTAGTAAGAAAACACACAATTCAATTTATGATTTGTTTATTTCTGGAAATTTCCATATAATATTTTTGGACTGCAGTTGAAATCTGCAGGCAACTGAAATCTCAGAAAGTGAAACCATCGATGAGGAGGACTACTGTATCGGGAGAATGAAAAATATGCCTCAGGTTTAAGGAAGCAGAAATTATGAACCTAAGTGACCTGTTAGAGGCCAAGGTCAAGTAAAAGGATCTGGGTTGATCCAAAGGATCTGTAACAGAGAATTATGACAGATCAAGAGGTGCTCATGCTATGGAGCAGGAAAGCCCACCTTATCAGCCACAGCAAAATATAAAACCAGTTGGACTCTGTGGACTCCAGATCCCAGAACTAACTCTGCGGCCTGTAGTGAGCCTCGTAGTGAGTCAGGTAGTGAGCCTGGTAGTGAGTCAGGTAGTGAGCCTGGTAGAGAGCCAGGTAAGTGAGTCAGGTAGTGAGCCTGGTAGAGAGCCAGGTAAGTGAGTCAGGTAGTGAGCCTGGTAGAGAGCCAGGTAAGTGAGTCAGCTAGTGAGCTAGGTTGTGAGCTTAGTAGTGAGTCAGGTAGTGAGCTGGTAGTGAGTCAGGTAGTGAGTCAGATAGTTAATGTGTAGTGAGACAGATTGTGAGCCTGGTAGTGAGCTAGGGAGTCAGGATGTAACAATGAACACAACCTCTACTACAGTGAACTTGACTGGAACAGTTCACACTGACAGGTGAACATATCAGGGGTAAAATTAAGTTTAGGGGGCAGTGTAGGCAGATTCCTATAGAAAGAAAGATATATGAGTTAATTTAGCTTGAAGAGTAAACTATTTTCAACAAATAGTGCTGAGACAATGGACTATCTCTGTGGGAAACTTAAATTTTGGTCTCTACCTGGCACCATATGCCAAAAAGAAAAAGGAGTCAAATGGACAAAAGATCTAAATGTGGACTAAGCTGCCACTAGCAGTGGGGGCAGCCACTGCTCCTCAGGGCTTGGTGACAGTCATAAACCAGTACTGGACTCACATATACCGCCTCCTTACCCCCACCAGGAAAAAGGCTGAGGCATGGGAGCGGGGACAGAGGTTATTCTCTCCCTTCCCTGTGGAAAGGAGGAGGTGTCCCTCAGCCAAGGGCAGGGGGAGATACAGGCAATTATTCATAGAGATCATGGTTGCCTAAACAAAAGGAGCCAGGCATCCCGTCCCTGCTAAATGTCCATTCCAGCAGACCTGCTCCCGGCAACTCTCAGATAGAAAAAAAGATCCAATATAAAAGAGAAACAGCCATGAGATTGGCCTGTGTTTTCATTACCTGTCAAACACACATCTCCACTCTGCTGCATGGAAGTCAGGCATACCCATCAGTGGGAAAGGACAGTCTGTCTATAAACGGGACCAAGACAACGGCTATCCCAATGGGAAGGGGGGCAATTGGATCCATGTCCAGTCAGAGCCAGATTTCTAAGCCAGGGAGCTGCGCAGAGGGGATGCAGCCCACAGGCTCTTCCAAGCCCTCGCCTGCCTGCCCCTCGTGGCCAGCACCCGAGCAGCACTGTGGTACCTGCCACCCAGAAGACATGGCAGTGTGGTCACTGGTAGTGAGTCAGGTAGTGAGTGATGACGAAAGGATTCAGGCAACACCATAGCTAGTCCCAGAGGCAGGTTTTTCTATACCCGGCTGAGTGAACAGAAGCTGCTTAAACTGGTGAAGCTTCCATTTCCTAATCTATTTAATGGGGGTAATAAACTCAACCCATAAAGTGTGCAGACTGAGAAATCGAATGCATGTAAAAGCAACAGCTCCTGCTTAGAAAAGGTCAGCTCACCCAGCCGGCGTGACTCGGTGCTTGAGCGTTGACCCATAAACCAAGAGGTTATGGTTCAATCCCCGGTCAGGGCACATGTCCAGGTTGCAGGCTTGATCCCCATTAGGGGTCATGCAGGAGGCAGCTAATCAATGATTCTCATCATTGATGCTTCTCTCTCTCTCTCTCCCTCTCCCTCTCCCTCTCCTTTCTTCTTTCTCTTAATATCAATAAAAACATTTTTTTTAAAAAGGACAGGTTAGCTCTTGTTAGTATTATTTATAAAGATAAAAATTAAAGATGAAGATATTTTCATTCCCTGGCACAATCTCTCTAAAATATTTATGTTATCTGAAACCATGCTGGAAAAAGTCTGTGAAAACTAACATTTCTGGCCAGAAGGGATGATTATAGGAAAAGAAAATGTTTT